CAGTACAAAGTAGAGACTCGGAACCAGAGCTGCTCGGTCAATTTATCCCAAAAATCATCCCACATTTCATTGTGACTGAGACGATAACGAGACCGTTCATTGCAGAGGTAAAAAGAAGACAGCTGTAGGGACATTCAGTTGTCCCTACGAAGAAGCAATGAGGTTTCCTTTGCCTTCCGTTCCTCATGAATAACATGAGGGACGATTAGTCTAATCATCCCTCATGTTATTATGCATGAGGTACGATTACTGGTTAATGCAAAAAGCGTTAATAAGAACAGAACAACAATATGTACTACAATGTGTTCGTGCGCTATGACTTTAATTAGGAATAACATAATGTCTTCACTCGTTTTAAAATATGCTATATCTGACAATTTCTAACACCGTAAACAGTAGGTGAAAAGGGTCTTTCGCCTAGAATAACCTTCCGCAATCACCAAACTTTCCATTAATTTCGTTTCATTTTTTGWCATAGTGACATGCGGTYCACATATTCTTGGTAAAAAAGCGAATTCGAGTTCAAATGTTATTATTGTCCTCAAGAGAACATGTAAATTAAAGGATCATTACGAAATTTTGAGCCAAAATGATGGTTTTTAACAAAAATACGAGCGATCGAAAATTGGTAAAAATGTATGGGATTATCACGGCGCAATGCGGTATTAGACTGGTGAAGAAATACCTACAAAAAGCTTTGTTTTAAGATCCATATGAATTTTTTATGTCCAAGACCAAAGACAGCATATAATTCCCAACAGTTATGCGAAGTTTAAAGTCAAACTGCGATTTTGTAGCAAAAATATAAGCGTTTGAATACGGTCTACTTTACAAGGGAATGTATGCGGTAGCCATGTTGGAAGACGACTCATTCCAACATGGCGGATGATACTTTAAAGATCTGAGAAGAAGGCAAAAAGGCAAAATCGAATACTTTCGATCATTTTCTACAATACACTTAAAATGTTGCGTGACACAATTCATGCGTAAATATTTCGGGAACTAAGGCCCGCGCTATACGCCGAACTTCACATGTACCGAATACAACTCCTATTTTTTTTTGTTTCTATTTTTTGTCCCTTTACAAATACCGGTGCTAACTATCTTACTCATTTTCTTCTCCTCGCGTTTCTCGATCCTTTTATTTCGTCTCTTTATTCTTCTCCCCGCCTGTCCACTTCCATACACACTTTCAATTTCAAGTTCATTTTTGTCCTTCTTTTCTCAATATGTTCATTGTTCTCCATCTCTTTCCAACTCATTTATTCCACTCACCTCTTACTATCACCAGCACACACTTACAACATCCAGTCATCAACAATCATTTCCCTTTCCCCTGCTCATATACATGCCACCTTCTATTTCATCACTATCATTTCCCTACATGCCACCTTCTATTTCATCACTATCATTTCCCTCCCATTCTTCTTTCAGTTTCCTCACACATTTTCGCTTAAATCCGTTTATCTATTTTTTTTATTTATCTATGTACTTATTTGTTTCTTTGTTTTCTTTATTTCTTTGTTTATTCAGTTAATGCTCCTCGTTTATCTTTTGTAACTTATTCATTCATTCAGATTGTATTCGACACATGTGAAGTTCGGCGTACAGCGCGGGCCCAAAAATCTCTTATGAAACTAAACCTTGCTAATGTCTTTCCATAATAACTATCTGTCATTATATAATTGGCGTTTTCGATCTAAATTTCATATATAGATCCTTTGTTGACGTCATATGAAGACGAAGAATTAAGTAAGTAAAGTTTAGTGGAGTTATTCAGGACTTTTGATTAGTTTTTATATATAGTAGAGACTTCATAAATTCGTCGTAAAGTTTAAATACTTTCTAAGGACCAAAATGTCAGTAAGTTTTTTCACCTACTTTTTACGGTGTTAAAATTCATCGGCTTATTCCACAACTGTTTCTTTAGCAAACGACGCAGTTCATACTAGTTTACCGCCAGTTTCAGTCACATCTGGATATATAGAGGATATTACATGGGCGTGCGGAGATATTTCAAAATTTTTTAAGATGTAAAAATAACTTCATTCAATTTCAGATATTTGTCACAATGTGAATCTCAATATTAAGATTTCCCTGAGTGTAAATCTAACTAAGTACTCAGGGACCGCGGAGCGGGATCTTGTTTGGGGGGGCTAGCGGCGAGGAGGTACTAGGGGGGTCGGAAATTTCTGAAATTTTAACTCTCGGAAATGCCATTTCCAGCGTTTTGAGGCGCTATCCAAGACATATTTACCACAGACACGGTCAGCAATATTATCAATAAAATCCCAAAGACTTCATAAGGAGGCTCTTCGCTTCTTTATTCAAGAAAATTCAAAATGTCGGAAATATTATTGGGGGGGCTGTAGCCCCCCAGCCCCCCCTGATCCGCGGTCCCTGGTACTGTATTACAATGTATGGCATTGAGATTGACTGATGGTCACCAGGTACTAAAACTTTTTCCAAACTTTTTTTTCAAATTTGTTGTTTTGGTTATTATGGTCCATACGTAAATTGTGTATTTTACACGTAACTGGTCCTGTATCTAAACAAAAGATGCTTTGGTTAGTATAAGGTTTTTAGTATAAAAGTGAATGGAAAGACAAAAGACCAATATTCGTATCAAACAAAAAATTGAGATTTGAATCACGTCTTGTAAACAACAACTGATGATTAAGATTACAAACACAGTATCTGCACCATCATACAAACAATAATTAAAATGATCTATAACTGACCTTGAATATAAAGTATGCATTATGTGTACCAGGTAGAGTCCCTAAAAAGACGTCAATTAATCTTTAATCTTTAAATAAATTAATTGCCACTAGCGAGCTAATCCGGCAATGGGGCGGCCAGCGGTGGCTGGCCTAGAGAACAATGACAGGCAATGGATAACATAATAAATAGTAAATTAGTGATTATACTGTATGTACATGTAGCTGTTGATGGTACAGACATTATTAAAGCGTAGAATAGAGTACTAAAGTGATGACGTCACAAAACGAAAATGTTTGAGTTTTGAAATTCGAAAAAAAACTATTTCTGTGACGTCACACTTTAGTACTCTATGATGGTATGTCAAACATTCAAGTAGGAAACAAAACATTAAGAATGAATGACAAAAACAGTCCTTTTGCATATTATCTAAAAACAATAAAAGATTATAAAAGATTAGAGCTAAAAATAATTCAAAATCAATAAGTCAAAACCACTTAAACCTGTAGTCAAAGGTTGAACAATAAGAACCTAACTATAAGTTAAATTGGGTTTTATGTGAGAAGATGCATTACCTGCCCAATGATTGGAATGTTATAATAACCCAAAAAAATATGAAAGGTAATAAATTTGATAAAGAGGTGAGATGTTAAATACATATGAATGGGCCTTACAAAAGCAAAAGAATTCCTTTGATTTACAAAGACCTTGAAATATGTTGCAGATGTGACATTGTGTATGATCAGAGCAACTACATGTATATGATCATTTTGGTGTCAAATTGTTTAATATATTGCTCTCTACTGCAAACATTTTGACAGCCTTTTTGAAATAATTATGCTATAAAGAGACATGATGTTGTGGGAATTGCAGAGAAAAGTAACACTCAATATTTTGGTTAATAAATCCACAATAACAATTAAATGATTGTTATTGGTTAATTCTCAAAAATTCTTCAGCTATACTTACTTAAAATAAAATGACATAATAATTAGTTTAGCAGTTCTGAAGTTCAGAATGGTCTCATCTCAAAGCATCCTCATACTTTTTAAGGAGGACGGCAATAAAAACTAATATTGTTGTACGACTAAGATATTCTTAAAATTTGCCATCTAATATATTAGGAAATCTCAACTAGGTCCAACTAGTCACAGACAGCATAATACATACAGTATGTAAATAAAAATGACTATTATACCTGCTGCTATTGTAATTTAAATCACAGATGAAATTACTATAACAGATTGAAGCTTAATATTTTTAGCTGTTTGAGCCATTAATGATATTAGAATTACATATTGTACAATAAATGCCTATAACTATTTACCTTTGATCCAAAAGTGCATCCAAACTATCATCATCAATAATTTGAAGAGTGTGCATCTTGGAACTTTTTGCTATTTCCAAATTTGTAATGTCATCATCAATAAGGATGACATTCTTTGCAGATATTTTTGCTTTCCTTGTTTTCTCCAGGTATTTTATTGCAGACTCAATATGCTGTTGTTTACCTGGAAAGGGGCAAACAATCACATTGACATAAAAACAACTTGTTAAATGAACACAACATGGCCACATTTGGATAAATTCCTTTTGATTAGACAGGGGAAAAAACTGAACAGACAAAGAAGACACAATATAATGTTCACTGGTCTTATTAAGGAATAATTTCTCCAAATATTTACTATGTTGCACGCATAACTTTGTTTGCAATTTGATATGGGTTCATGTACATGTATGGTAACCTAGTTACATGCTCAGAAATATGTATGTCTGAAAAGGAACTCTTGCATAATAAAAGCATTAATAATTAGAGTTGCTAAGAGGATACATTGATGATATCATACATCTATGAATGGTTAGGTCCTACTCTCGACATCAAATCAATTTATATGTTATACCCAGAACCAAAATTACAARATACAGTACTGTATGCCTTATGAGTTTAATCCAAAGAAGCCAAAAGTCAATACACATAGATTCATGAATGCATAAATTTGTAAATAGATAAACTTTAAATATAATCTAGCTATTTAGTTACTAATTCTATAAGTTTCTTCAATTATACACATGTAGTTCTGTTTTTAATTGTTTTGCATTTATATATTGATTTCTTGTTAATATGCTCCTCTTGTAAAATAGGATATGTTATTTTTATCTTATGGAAATAAAGACCTATAATTATAACAGAAATATTCARAAATTATGATCATTTTGACTCATATTCCAAGTATATATAAAATATGTTCAAACTAGCCAAAAACCATATATAGGGGGGGTTTGGATACAAAATGGAATGGCCCTACGGTCTCGAACATCAAAGAATTCTAAAAAGCTTCAGTGACTCTCCTGTTCTATGATACGCTTGTTTACAGCCAAGTTCGTAATGTGATATTTCGTATAGAAATCGGAGGGCGATTGGGAGACCCGCAGGCAAACTTCACACATGGAAAAAAAACAACAACAAAATTATACGCACTGCATTTTCTGACTCGTGACCCGGCCTAGGGCCTGGTTATGACTATTAGTCAGATTTCAGCAGGAAAGCTGTGGACATGCGCAGTGCGTTTTTCACCAGTGTCATTGCTGCCGCAGCGTAGCGAGCCTGAGCGAGTGAAGCGTAAGCAGCAACTCTAATCTGGGGAAGGGCAAAATTTCTCGATTTTAACCCAGGATGCAGTACGTTTTCATTAACCATCTTCCTTTGCGCCACTATAAAATGGTGAACAGTCCCGGATGTTCTTTCTCCCTTGTGTTTACATTAGCTTGTGTTCTTGAGGTGAGTCGAGTTTTGTTGTGTTADTTTGATTTTTCTTGCTGTTTTTATTATTCAGAGCACTAATTCAAACAAGTATTAACCTCGAGTTCATATTTTGTGTTTCAGTTTTATCATATTATTCCGTTATTTCTCGATCGTCTCTTGACAAAGATGTGGTCTAAAGAGATCACTGAAATTATGACCTATAAGGTGGAGATGTCGCTTAATTTCTCCAACCTATGATAGTCGATATTAAATAAAGTTTTACTTATTATCTGAAATGCATCCTGAATCTGTCGTCTTAGCCGCTAAAAGGCCTTTGATTTTACGAAGCTCATTCAAATGATCGTTACTCAAACGGTAGGGTTGCTGATTTTTGCGGTCTGTCCAGGAATAGCCTGCATTACATCCGGTTTTATTTGCCACATAAAACCAGATGTAACGATATTCATCATTAAAATCACTTTGCACTGGCTTTTATTTGAATCAAATGTAGTTCTTGAACCAAACCAAATATGATTGCCGTCTGTGCCAAGAGTAGTTTTTATTGATTTTTATGGTATAAAAAATTTTAATCTGACACTTAAGCTAATTAATTTTTTGTAATAAATGATTTTGAATTATACTGAAAACGTCTGTTTTTCCCCCTTGTCTATTTATAAAAGACGTTGCAATAAGGGTTCACAACAGAATAGCATTCGGGACAAGATTTTAACCTTTAACCCTTAAATAAATTAATTGCCACTAGCGAGCTAATCCGGCAATGGGGCGGCCAGCGGTGGCTGGCCTAGAGAACAATGACAGGCAATGGATAACATAATAAATGTAAGAGTAATACAAATGCAGCAAAACCGCCTATACTAGAGTGAAGTCATGCAACACATCAAATGCCGATCACACGGTGGCAATTAAGCTACCGGGCAGCACTTTCATACCTTTTAGGTAAACTAGTAACTTATAAGATGTACTAAAAACTAAAGATACGATACAATCCCCGAATTAGACAAGGAAAGCACGACTAATAACTTAATTATAAACTATATAAACACTTCCAGCAGAATTCTAAATTCTATCAGCGTAAAATCCCAAAATAAACATAAGGTATAAACTAAGTTAGAATGTTAGTTAATAAGATAACTTTATAAGTTAAGTAAGCTTATGTATGATGAAGACGGAGAAATTTCCATACTTGCCTTCTTTGCTCACTCCTTTCAGCATTTTCCATGTACCGTCAGCACCTCGAATAACAATTCTTCCAGTATCGCAATCTGGCAAAGTTTGTTCCATAACTTCCTGTACCAACGATACTTGTGGAGACTGAGTAACAATAGCTACATGAAGATCCGAGTTGACTGCTACAGTCAAGAACTTTTGAAAACAAGGTCGTACTCGAGTTGCCAACATTTTACTTGTAAATTGCCAAAATCCACGAGTGTGGACGTTCAGAATTGTCAAGTCAAAATCCACAGCTACTAATTTTATTCCCGAAGCCAGTAGATTTTGAACGATTTTTGAATATTTATCCATAGTGTAATTCCTTGACAATCATACAATCATATAAAATACTTTAAAGGCCAATAAACGTTTAGTACAGCGGTATACGATATGAGCACGTGATTGGTTGAAAATGACGCGTTTTTCCACAGGCAGCCCAAGTTGTTGAGCAGAATGATAAGGGACGACCACGACTTTTTTTCCGAAAATTTTCATTGGAAATATTTTTTTGCTTTTGCCCCTAACCCCCATCACTGTTCTAATGGGTCGTCCCTAATAATATATTTCTCATACTCATTAATTATTCATGAGGTATCTAGCCAATCCCTTACAGCTAGCTGGGACATAAGAACAGATATATTTCGAGTAGAGGTTGTCGTACGACTTCCATATATGGATGTCCATATGCATGGCTCTGATGTACCTATAAAAGGCTCTCATGTCCCTATAGATGGTTCATTAATTATATATTCAATCTTATGTCGTACATATGCGTGGTTATTCATGCATGCATATTCAAAATTATAAAAACTGAAAACCTTGGTGGAGATGCAATATATCATATAATTATCTATGAAATACCTATATATTTCTCCATTTCGTAAAATTATTATTATTACACAAGGCATGGCAAACCACTACTTCTCTCCATTTCGTAAAGTTGATATTTCAGAGTTTACCTAATGTGCGAGCCTGCGAGCCTCTATGTGCGAGCCTTTATGTGCGAGCCTCTATGTGCGAGCCTCTATGTGCGAGCCTCTATGTGCGAGCCTTTATGTGCGAGCCTCTATGTGCGAGCCTCTATGTGCGAGCCTCTATGTGCGAGCCTCTATGTGCGAGCCTCTATGTGCGAGCCGCGAGCCTTTTTTGCGAGACTCTTTCAAAATAGCAAATTAACAGACATTTTTGTTTTAAATCTAGACTTAGACATTTTAGTAAAATACACGGTCCAAGTACTTGTACAATGTGAATGGAGATCGACTGGGTACGATGTGCCTTTGAATAGACCTAATCGGCTACCGGCGTTGCATGCTATGTACGTTGCCACCCAATTCAAATCCTGTGGAAAAAAGAACTTTTGTTACTAAGAATTCAACTGTGAAATGAAAATACAACGAACAATGAAACTTACTCCCGGGTGGTTTGAATTGGGTTGAAGCCGATTAGGTCTATTGGCCGCGCTCCTATCGCAGACATCTACAATGAGAATCTCATCCTCTTTGTCGTCAACTCTTTACTGCAAAACGGTGRTATTCSACAGGGCACTAAACTAAGCCCTGTCTTGTTTGCTGTGATGGTAAATGACCTCGTTAGATCATGGTTCCCCCGAGCAAAATAGTTTGACGATTTGACTGTCCTTGTGCCCAGGGACTCTCCCCCTGTAATGCCTTACTTAGTTAACGATATCAAYGATTTTGCTTATAATAGCAATATGGTATTAAACCCGRAKAAATGYAAGTGCATGTCGATTGACTTCCTTGAATACAACAGCTGTGTGTGGAGCCCCCTTGTTGTCGGAAACACGATGGTTCAACGTTGTACAAAAACGCGCCCTATCAATCATAAGTCCTGGTTTGTCCTATGACAATGCACTCAGTAGGTTTAATTTGCCTTCTCTGGAAGAGCGCAGAATATCTTTGTGCCAAAGATACATCGAGAACGTGAGTGATCCTAACTCTAATTAAATCCAGAACAACAGAAATCAGCCATTCTTACGAGTTGAGGACAACATCGAAATACAAAAAAAATATCACGAGAACTGATAGACTTTTGTGTCTGTTAAGTATCATGTAGTTATTAAATGTTGTTATATCAGTTGTGTTTTTCTCCAGTATTGCACTGCGATAGGATTGAAATTAAACATATTATTGTATATTATTTTTTGCTGCAAAGTATTATATTTTGTTTCGAAAGCAAGTCTAGTGCTGAAAAAAAACTGCTTGCATTTTATAACCGTGYCGCCGGCCGAGGCCTGGGCACGGTAATACACTGTTAGATGTTCAAAAGTCGTCTCACTTTCTAATTAGCCTGGAAGTTCTGAATTATCTACGTGAAAGAGAAACCACATTGTCACTATAAGGCAACTAAGTTGGTTTTTCAACGAAAAACAGTGTTAAATCRGTCACCTCAAGGTCGAAATGGTTTTAAATTTGTCGCCATTTTGAATATYTAATTATCTTCCCATCACGTGATCCATATGACATTATCAGCAAGGTAGTTATATAATATTAAATTTTTTAAATTGAAAGTACTTTTTTGCCTTTGGCTTCTAGTTTAAAAGATAAAATTTTTAGTACTATAGACGTTTCGTTTTGAACATGGACCTTCAGCAGTAGTTTACAAAGATTACATTTAGTATTATTGACACGCGTGATGGTACAAATTAAAAACAAAGCATGCGCGCTTCTRCGAGTGCGATAAGCCTTTTATTGTCGATATATAATTAAATAAGTTACTGTGTATGCGCTGATTAAAATGATTTCTAAAGGACACTGTCACAGTAATTCATCAAAAACGTTTTGACCTATTTATATTTTCGCTTTGACGCGAGTTCTTCCAAACAGGTGAATATTTTCAGAGAAATAATTGTATAACAGTCAAATGCCTGGTTTGCTTGTCATAGCTTTCAAACGATAACTTCTTAATTTTTCGTTWAAATTCAGAAGGAATTGTKATCTTGAGACGTCACTAAAGTAGGCATTAAAACTTTTAAAATGTTCACAGAAGAGAGTAGCATTCTTTCCTTATCATTTGTTAGTTGTAATTTGTTCTTTTTTGGGAGTCCGAGTTTCGAAAAAATGCCAAACTAGCCGAACCACAGTTGAAACGACAATGGAAATTTGAAAGTTTAATAGCTTAATCGTTGGTGATTCCCTTTGGTCCATTCGGATAATAACCGGATTGTTAAGCAAAGTTTTATTCAAATGAAACAAAGAACACTAGCACTTAAAAGAAAAATAAGCCCCAAATACAAAGAAACATTTCAAATTATAAAAAGAATTCCTTATTCATTGTAGTCTCATGGGATTAGATGGCTCTAATGAGTCCTTGTTAACCACCGCTCATAGGCCTGGTTTGCTTTGCTGATCTCGTTCTTGAAGCACCTTTCTGTTAGCACGCAACAACCTTGTTTTCCTAAAAGTTTAGGAGCATTTGTATCTTCATCTACTCTAAGGTAAGCCACACAAGACCTCTAAACTTCACTTATGTGCTGGACGTCTTCGCAAGTGGTTTACTTGAGACGCGTGCGCGTTTAACAAAAGTTGAGTGGCAATGACCATTTTAGGGTCGAATTACTAGTCTCAAAGTGGTTCATGGCATGTTTAAAATTTGGCAAACAACTTAACTAGATATGATCACTTTAATATCATTTTGTTAATTATACAACAAAAATTGTTTGGAGAGTCCTAAGAATTACCACGAGTAACATTAGTGATCGCGGGTCAAGCCACGATTAACAGTTATTAGTTTATGTTGATACATTATAACTTGAAGGGCTCGAGGAATTGATAGATATGCTTAATTTGTTGTCTTTTCTTAAGAAAACAGAACTAGAAAAAAAATTAATTTCCTATYATTTTGAATGACATCTTAAGGAGACCAAAGCGAAGAGTCTTTAATTCTAGTAGCAAATAATCGGTAGCAAATACGAAACTTCAGTTCTTTATCAATTTCGCTTCAAAGTTACGTTTTAAAAGCGTTGCAAGCAAATAACTATAAATCTATTAAGTCTCGCAAGTAAAAGCTTTCCGTTGATTTACGCAAACTTAGGATGAACGAAGTCAAACACAAAAAAGAATGCAATGGACCATTTACATAAACTGGCTACGGAATTCTATTGTAATTGTATGTGCTCGGGAAAAATTTATCATTACACAAAAGGGTGGAAAGAAGGCAGTGAGGAGGGAAGAAATAATAGTAAGGATAATTGACAATCATACCTCAAGGTCGTGTGGTCCAATTTTTAATATCCACCAAACTGTAGAGAGATAGAAAKGAAAACATTCTAATATTCTTTGCGCTCATAACCACTGCTGTGTTATTTGTTCKCGATGWAGTGAGCACTAGTTTTGTTCAGTAGACTAATAAATCGTGCTAGTGCTTTGTTAGTGCTCTGCTTTGGTATATATTTTCGCTCTTTGTAGAATATTTTTCCCTCATTCAGTCACATTATACATCGAATGCAAAAAGATGTTTTGCCTGTTTTTTTGTGCTTAAAAATGTTAAAGATGCAATTTCTGCATGAATGAAATGTGAATAACAACGCGGTCTTCTTCGTTTTGCATGAATTACTGAAAAAAAATATTTTTGAATGAATTCTGCTTATATGAATAACCTTTTCCTGAAGTACATTTTCAGTACATTAGTACCATTACGCCGAATGCTTTTAAAAAAATTYCCTGTTGTTTGCTGTTGTTATACCTTCTTCATGGATTCTCTAAATTGTTTCCTTCAAGTACCTGTAATACGTCGCGTACATTTTTTAGAGTCTCTTGAAGTTATATCAAAAGTTAAAGTTCCCACAGATTGTTGCGCTCCTATTGTTGTCGTCCCAAAACAAAATGGGCAGGTCCTGAATATGACATTTTTGCAAAAGTATATGCCAAAAGGTTTTGATATCGAACTTTGCTTTTTAGTCTTGGAACTTAGCTTTTGAGGTATAAGATATTTTTCCTTCAATTCACGCTGCGTTCGAATGCTTTTTTTTCCCTGGTATATTTATAACACTTCCCCYTCTAAAAAACTAATGATTTGTTTAGGTGCTGAGACGGCTATCAGCTCGTAGTTCACGATAGTGATTTGAGTAGATGACACTAGATTAATTGTATCACTTATCTCAAATGCAGATCCRATGAAAGATTCTCTAAATATGATGAAAGAGGAAAGCGACAATTCGTCACAACCATCGACGTCATCAGTYTTTACACCACGCAGAATACTGATATTATGTGTGACGACATTTGTCTTTTTCATGACGTGGTGCTGTGCTGCTATGTGGGCCCCATTCTTCCCCGGCGAGGTATTCCTGTCAAACTCAGTTTAATCAATTTTAAGCATTTAGGGACTGTGCAATAATTACCAGGAAGGGGGGGGGGCGTAAAACCAGATGGGGGGCATTACATAAAATTGATGGCAAGATAGGGGGGCTCAAAGTAAAATTACCTATTTAACAGAGGGGGGGSCTTAAGTTTTATTCAAAATTTTCATAATTCTCGATGTTTCTCAAAGGCTGGAAGAGTTATTCCTTTCAAATTTTGAAAACATCATGCTGGTTGCTGTGACGATTTTTCAAAAAAAAAAATCTATTGCCTGACGTTTAGTTTTTCGGAACACTCCGTCAGGCTGCCTGACGTTTAGACACTCCGATATATTATATGTATAAATTAATTTTATTATTAGGCTGCAGAACGCGGAGTCAGCAGCACCGAAGTTGGTTTCATTTTTGGTACATACAGCTTGGGTGCAGTCGTCGCGTCATTGATCTATGGCCCTTTTGTGGTATGTATTCGGACACTATACTAGATCTGCACTGTGATTGTGTCATTTCATAATTGTAAGTGTTGTTTTTTTTTTTTGCATAGATTCCACGAACTGGTCCAAATTATGTCTTGGTCGCTGGACTGTTTTTAAATGGTGTAATCAATTTGATGTGTGGGTATGTTACAGTGCAAAGTATAAGTGCTTTGTTTCCTACAACAGTGAAGTAAAAAAAACCCTTGAAATAGATATTACACTTGCATTAGTATGCTCTAATTGGATTAGTTTCTTTTGCGTCTATTTGTCTATCACACTTTTATTGTTAAATCACTCTAAGTGAGTGCCACCGCTACGAGAACAACTCACTCAAACATACTGATTTTGATTTTCTGTATATTAAGTTTTAAACAAGTTTTAAATAAATAGAAAAGAAAATAGAAAAGAATATAAACAACAATTTTCTTATACAAATTGTGACTTTCATAACTGATTTTCATAACTCGCTCAGCAAAAAGAGTTTCATGCACTTCATTACTTCCTTGACCTACCAAAGCTCGATAACGATTAATTGCGGCGTCTGGCGATTCCTAAAAATTACAGAGCGAGATGTACATGAAAGAAGTTTCGATAGCATGAAATCTGAGGACATTTTCCCCATATCATTATCTCACCGCACAGGATCCAGTCTACCACGAATTAACTGCCTTTACAAGTGTCGCTCATGATTTTTCTCTTTCGTGCCCGAAAACCGAAAGTACTCTCATAAATGAATTAATCACTCGGGCTAACAAGAGGATCCACTGTCTGAGGGTATGCAGGAAAGTTAATCTACCAAAGGATGTAGGCCTAACTATATATGCAACTAAGATAAGACCTCTCCTAGAACACGCATCACCAATTTGGGACTCTCTCCCAGACTACCTGATTGATGATCTTGAAAGAGTACAACATAGATGTTTAAAGATCATAGGCCTACCAAAAGACAATCTAGACAGTTTAGCTTCTCGGAGACAACAACATACTAAAAAACAATTTACTAACATTATTAATGATGTAGAGCACCCGTTCAGSCATTTCTTACAATTTAATACAGGTTCTAAATACAATCTKAGGTCAGTGTCCAAAATAAGAGTTCCTTTATCGAAAACTAAGAGACATGAACAATCTTTTTTAGTCCGGGGTTGCAAATGCTTATAAGAATCTTTTTTGCTGTACTGATTTTGTAAACGATTTTCATATTTCTGAGCATAATGTACATATTTTAGAGTTTATCATATATTATATATATTTACATTTGTAATATAGTCGTATTTCTTTGCAATGACTGTAATAAAGTTTATTATTATTACCACGTGCTATCAATTTGTTCAAGGTTTGGGGATATAATCGAAGATCATGTGCCTTTTACCATATTTTTCTTCATCATGCGAGCTGTTGGATCACTTGGAGGCGCAGCTTGTGAAACTTCCATTGTTGTAATACTAACACAAGAATTTCCAGGTCATCTTCCTATAATCATGGTGAGTTCTCTAAAATCGAGGTTTTTTCTGACCCATTTAGGATTGTCTTGTTTTGAGAGTGGCTTAACCTAAATGCTGTGAGTTAACGATCCAATAACACTCGACAATAATAGGTGGTATACAGCTATTTCAAAACACTGAGGCTACTGTATTCCAAGRWCGCAATGCATTGTCGGTCATTCTGTCCTATAAAGGAGTTTTCGTGATTTCAAAGTGACTATACTAGCTTTGTACAATCAAGAACTTCAACGAAAACTAGAAGCAATTAAGTTAAGAATTGTCTTTTTGTAACACAGCTAACGTGGAGTTTTACTGCAATACATTGCGGTCTTGCGTTGTTCACTATCCACGATTGCTCTAAATGATTGATTAACAATAGCGCATATTATGGTGGTGAAAGAAGTGAGATTAAATCAAAGAAATAAAATCTCTTTATAGGGATTTTTGGAAATCGCTGCTGGCTTAGGGTTTACGGCTGGACCTGTGATTGGCGGAATGCTGCATGCGGTAGGTATCAATTGTAAGCTTAAGTATTAGGCTTTGTCCAGACAAATCCATATGCATGAAAAACGTTCAGACTCTAAACTTCCGTATGTCCTGTTCGAACGAAAATACTCTGTATCGAAAAACATTCATCACGTGAAAGCAAAATGACTACAGTTTTTGCTCTGACCCCCAACCTCCGGGAAGGGTCCGGTATTTACCAAATGGTTTTACATTTTTATTTCATGAGGAAAGAAGGAGGGAATAGTCCACATTCGATATTTCAGTTAACTAGAAACACTAAGACATAAAARCAAGGGAATGAGGTCTTTTGTTTTCCCTGAGTCTCCTCCTCAATTTTTCCGGAGAATCGCAATCGTAACAGTTTTTTTGATTATTTACATCAGCTTGGGGGGTTCAGGCTTCCTATGTTGGCCGTTGGAGTCACGATGCTGTTATTTGTGCCTATGATTTGGATACTTTTACCCAGAAAAGGTTAGCTTCATGTTCAGCAATGTTTGTGAATTTGATACTATTTTTTCCCAATTTATTTCTAATGATCTTTTCGCACGCAGTATACATCGTTCTAAGTAGTATACATCGTTCTAAGTAGTACATCGTTTCTAAGTAGTATATCGTTTCTCAGTAGTATAACTTTGTATTGTTTTTTGTAGAGTGGTTCTCCGTCAACCATGAAAAGAAATAGACCAACTAGTTAGTAGCAATTAGTAATAGTCAATAGACTAATATAGAAATTAGGTAACACCTAATAGCGGAGCGCAAATAGCAAAACAGAAGCTGAAAATGATTATCTATAGTACTACTATTTCAAAGATAGCCTTAGTAGTAGAGATGCGCTGTTTCAAGGAATGTTGACATGCAAACAAATATTCTAAACATATTTATTCATTTCAGTATGTTTATGAGAATTTCGTACTCTGTGATGAATATGTTTATACCTATCAATCGGATACAAGTCTAGACTAGACTATTAGTATTTGTCTATTAGAGTACAAACATTAAAACTGTGCAGCATAAATACCACTAAATACTGCTAAATTATGCTAATTCTATTGTTTTCTATTGTTTAATCAACAATATTTTGTAGTAAATTGTGAAAAGTGTTGCACACATTTAATGTTTGTACTCTACAAACTACTACTAACTATTAGACTTATTGTGCTTTCATGGTTGACGGAAAATCACTCTATTCCCTAGTAGTGCTATCCGGTCTACATAACCATATCTTTGAAATCATGAGCTTGTAAGCTTTTGATCAAATATTATCAATATCAACTGAGAATTGGATAAGACTGTCAGTTTTTGGAAATATTTCTGTTCAGTATTAAACCTCAAATACCTCGAAAACTTTCCATGTTTTATACCTTTTTTAAAAGATTTATATTACTTTTTCCCAGTATGATTTCTTTTTCATTTTTTGAAGAAAATTAAAAGTTAGAGCTTTATCTTTTATTTCCACCTCGGGGAACTCACGGCATCTTCTAAATGTCTCGAAGCCTATACCGCTGCAATATTAAAAAAAGCGCGAATGATAAAGACAAAATTTCTCAAGCTGTTGGGCTGTCTGTGGTTAGAATTGCATGTGCTATCATGATTTTTATTTTTTTTTGATAGATCGTCGTCATAATGATAATATTAATTCAATTCTTCATCTAGACTATTCTACTAAAGGAAATGACTCAAGTCGAATCCAATTGTTTAAGCAAATGGTTGGAATCCCAGGCATTTTAATTATGTGTAAGTTAATTTCTTCTCTGCTTATCAACWTTGGTGCTATCATCAGTATTTATAGTTTCATTTTTATCTTCAATATCAACATGACCACCTTTTGTGCACAATAAGATATTTAACTTGTTTACTGGATTGTGAGAAACAGTACGGTTTCAGACGGAAGGCTACAAAAAAAATTTCTGCTTTCAAATAAGAGTCGAGATTTTATAAGAGAACAAAAGAAGAAATTTGAAAACGTGACCTTCGAGTTCAAGTTTAGGCATTTTTCAGTGACGTACCAATTTTGTCATCCCTCAGCCACAACCTATGATTCTCTCCCACATTTTTCGCCAGATCTATTCTTAATGTATACTAGAAAAAGTTAACTTTTCTATAARAAAAAAGACAAAAAAAGTTAACTTTATAATAATGATTGCGGTTTTAGCTAACGTAGCTTCAATATAACGTGCTACTGAATTTTGAAGATATTGAATAGTTATTTCTAACTGGGTAGGTGTTGAATGTTGATAATTCCTTTGTTTCCCATATATCATCACTATTTTAATAGTGTAGTAATTGATATTATTTGTTTGTTTGTTGTGGCTTTTTCAGAATACGTTCTCCTGCATAGTCTTTTGTTTCACGCGGAATTTTATTTAATGGGATACAAAATTATCCAGTCCGTCCCCATGTAGTTACGAGAGTCGTATACGACCGTTACAAGTACCCTCTACGTACACGAATAGCTGAGCCTTCAATGATTTTTGTTTTTTTCGATGCCCTGATGCTGCCGCATACAAAGATATCCGAAAACGAGCATGTTAAACACATATCATGAGAGATATCGTACAGTGAAATTTCACGTATTAAGCTGTTTACGCACAAATACATTTACGGATGCAAAATCTCTGGATTCGTGTGTACGAACCTAGGTATAGCCTGTGTACATCCGTTTCTCACCCCTCCAAAAAAATCTCCCCGATTTTTTTGGAGGGGTGAGAAACGGATGTACACAGGCTAACCTAGGTGCGTCTTATTTATGTCTGTTTGTTAAAATTGTTTTCACGCTTTGCTTAGGTTTATGTGCTTTTCTATGCATGGCTTCCTTAACATTTTTGGATCCAACGCTACAGAATCACGCAGAAAAGGTCAGTATCATTTTTTACCGATATTACACCTTGCGCTTGGTGTTAAATATCCTGTCTTTTCCCTGTTTGTCCTTTCAAAATGCTTGGACATTTTGTCTCGACACCAGTCCATTGTTGTCTTTTTTGCAAATGACAATTGACATGTCTTAAAGATKTTTTAATATTCTGAAAGATTTTGTTAAAAGGAGGAGGGGCTCTAAAGGTTTTCAGTTACAGTATTTTCTATTGCTTTCAAGCATCTATCTGTTTGTCTAGTTTGGAATGGACTCAAGAGATGTCGCACTGTTATTCCTATCACTTGCTGCACCTTTTATATTCACATCTCCAGTTGCTGGATTTATACTGAGTAAAAAGGTAATTAACACCAGTGAAAAACATGATAAACAAAAGTTTAATCGATTCAAGGTTATCTGTCCATAGAATAATGACATCAGTTAAATTATTCATTTGCGTTTCAGTCCTGGGGCAAAACATTCATCGTTATTGGATTGTTTGGCAATGCGATCAGTTTGCTGTTTTGTGCACCTGCTCCATTTCTGACTTCATTTGTCCCAGAAAGGTACAGATAAGGTTCCCTGGAATAGTATAACCTCTCAGTATTGTCAACTGTTGTCATCATTCTGTTCTTTAGTCCCATCAGTATAGTCCCTTGTTTGCCCTAATCTTCAGTATCGTCCTTATTCTTGACTCGACAATATTCCCTTCGAAAACTATGTGTATTTTATATCACCTTTTTAYATCTSTCGCCATTACGCAAGCCTAAATTCCTGACGATCACGTTGTGTCACAATGCAATATTAGTCATAAGTGTACTGGGGTCATTAGAGTATAGTGTACAAAGTTGCGTATAATGTTCATAGTATCTATAATTCTTTCCTGTGAGATGTTTATCATTATCCAYAAGTTTCAAAATTAGATAGCGAAAAGCTAGGAAATGGAACTCATAATTTAGGTCGATCAAAAGAAGAAATGAAAGCCAGATGAAAACTTACTTCCGCTCCTTTCTACTTTTTCCTATTGCATGTCTGGCTCATCAATGTCTCTTTATTTTTAGGACAGTGTGGGTTTTAGTACTTTCCTTAGTGGCCGTTGGTTTTTATAATGGTCTCTATTTAGTACCTGTACTACCCGAAATGTTTCAGTTCTCTTAGTAAGTATTCTAAGAAAAATTTATGTCACATGTCAATTTTGGTATTTGTATAGTTGTAATTGTTGTATCTATATTGTTCGAATTTATTTGGTGGATCTATTTGTTTGCTTAAGGGCATGGCATGATAGTTTGATGGATTAACGTAGTGTATTAGGCTCTACCGTCTAATATTATTTGGTTTTTAATTTTTAACTCGGAGATTGCGTTAGCAATCGAAGAGTTATTGTATAGGAGGACGATTTGTGGGTCAGYACTTCATGTAAGACCCGATCCGATATATATCTGGGCTAAATACCCTACACCTAAACCTAATACAGTAATATATCAGCAAGTGCCAATTTATGGGGTCTTACATAAAGTAATCTCGCTAGTAATCTAGTCACCATCTTGTTACAAATCCACGCACGATATGTCGTAAACAACATTATCCTCGAGCGCTAATGGAGGATAATGTTGTTTACGCCATATCGTGCGTGGATTTGTAACGTTTTTTAGTGTTGACTCCATTAACCCTGATGATGGGCCTAAGGCCCGAAAGCTTGRTAATAAAATAACTTATTGGTTGATGAAACAAGATCAATGATATGTCTAAGCCAACCAACRAACAAATATTTAATAATGGGCTTGTTTTCCAGTTGCCAGGGAAGTTCAGGGACAATAATAATAACAGATGCACATCCCATCAGTCTTGCTGCCAATTGTAAAKAGAATTGTAACCTCGCGATTACCTCATTTATATGGTAATCGCGAGATCACAAAGCTGCATGCAAATTTTACTGGAGTTTTGTCTTCATAGTCAATGGGCTGATTTTTTTGTTTATTTTTTGTTGTTTTTTTAATAGTGAAAAAGGCTGGCAAGAAAGTATTGAGCTATCTTCATTTATCTCTGGTTTGTTTACTGGCTTTACCAATTTGGGGTAAGTCAATTAAACAACTAATTATTAGCATTGTCGCGCTTCACGGTCCAACAAGCGTGTCAACTCGAATAGAAACTACTTTTTGGATGCAATAGACGAGCTTACGCGTTGACATGTACGTTACCACCCAATTCAAATCCTGTTGGAAACATAACTTTTGTTTCTAAGAATTCAACTGTGAAATGAAAATACAATGAACAATGAAACTTCTTGGTGGTTTGAATTGGGTGGAAACGTTTATAGCAACGCGTTAGCCGATTAGGTCTATTTATCATAAGCCACAAATATATATTTTCCTGGATAGGTTATTTCACGACTACCTAAATCAAGCGATTGGGTCTAGACGATGCGTGCGCTTATATGCACAAAAGGCATTAGTTTTAACTGAAGAACAAGACAGTCCTACAATTCTTGAATTTACCAAGTTTTAGAACAATCGTTGAAAATCATAGAAGTTTCAAATTCAGCAAACTTTACGTCCAAAAAAGAAATGTACTATGTATTTTAAAGGTAAAAAGCTTTTAGTCAATGAAAGGGCGGATCAAGCATTTTAYAAGGGGGGGTGCTTTTGTCAGTAACATATGGAACTGATTATCGTCTAGACCTAGAAAATTATGCACAATTTGACCGGAAGCAAATTGACTTTTATTGCAACGTATCTTTGACTACACTACTCAAATAGATTGTTAGGCAACATAGTGGCAGACACATGTTGTGTATGCTACTCGTTTTCTCGAWTAAAGTACAACAGGAGCCATAARCAATGCAATGAGCCAGGAACCAAACATTCACAATTGTCATAACAAGATGGGTGAAGTAGCTCAAGACCGCGAATAAAAAGGCCTAGTAACAAGGAATATATAAATTTGATAATTAAAGAAAAGCACCTTACGATAAAATTTCAAAAATATATATTTGGCTATAATGATAATGATGATGATGATGATAACAAGTTAACAAATTTACATTGGGATATTTTAGCGCATTCTTTGGAGCAGTTATTGGAGGGATACTGGACGACCACTTTGGATTTTCTTGGACAACTGTGGTACGTTTTCTTAAGGCCGAATTAGACGCCATAACTTTACCTAACCATCGCATGCAACTTGCGTTAGTCATCCAAGCACTTAGCTAACATTGCTATTGTTGAGATTTAAAAAAAATCCATTAATAGCTCTACGACAATAGTCATTTTGCAAGTATGGCCTATGCAGGTTTCATGCGAAGGTTGCAGGCAAACGTCATGGGAACAGCTCAAATTAGTTAACATCCCGTTAAAGTTTTGCAAGTTACATACAGGAATTGGACTTTGTCTGCCTTCTCATAAACATTCTTTAAAATGTCATATTAAGATATTATTGTGCACAAATACACTTTAAGGTAATACCCCATTATGAAAAACAAGATTTTTTATAACCTCCCCCCCCGGCCTTCCCTGAATAAATATATAATATATAAAATATGAGCGGGAGACTTTATGTGATCTTTAAAACTGCGAGCTGCAAGCGAAAGCCCATAAAAGGTCGGACGCGAATATTTTATATTGCTTATCAAATTCCAACATAAGCTAAAGCATATTTTCCAAAAAACCTCAAGATCATTTTTAAGAGAAAATGGAAGTTTTAA